CCGTGTGGATGCTTGGACTGTGGTTCTCTTTTTCAATCCATGGATTGCAAATAATCGCGCCCGTCGCCCCGGTCTAGTGGGTAGCCTCGCAGCCTGCTAAGGGCCAGGTCATGGGTTCNCTGCAAAGCTCGTTTGTTAGTAAACCATAATCGACTTCGTAAGTCGCGAGGGAAGGGATTGCTGTACCCTTCTCGCGATAAAAATACCTCAGGCATGAACCGCAGGAGGGGGTCCAACCCCCCCCTCCTATGTGACCCCGGTTGGGTCGTCTAGCTAGTAGAAGTGGAGGATAGGGGCCAGAGGGGCAGACGACAGAGTCCAATGATGGGAGAAAAACAAACAAACAACAAAACAAACTGAATAAACTATATATACATCAAGTCAATTTGTTTGTACAGCAGGTAGCTCTGCGTCCACACAGCAGCATGGCTCTTCATACGTTACACAAACCTGGACACAGGTCCAGCAATAGAGGTGACTGTAGGCGCGATCCGGAGTCAGACGTCTACGTGCCTGCGTAGCTCAAAAAAAAAAAAATCGAAAATCGTTTTTCTGGTTCTCTCTCAAACGTTCAGAACCGTCGAATAAAAACTTGCTCAAAAAAAAATCGGTTCGGGAAGACCGAGATTTTTTTTTTTCGCCGCATTGCTGAACTTTTTTCGTCTCGAGCACCTCTTGAATCGATCCTGCTTGGCCGATTTAGGGGGGGTAGAGCCACTCAGAGAGTTGTTCAGACCAAAAGTCGGCTGCGCAGAGGCTCGATCATGAGTACCGCCGCCCCTGGGCCGGCGCCAGCTGTGACAAAGCCTGGGAAATGCCAGCGTATCGTCTTCATTGGTAGCACCAGATACCTTGTCGAGCACAAATGGAGATTCGACGCTGCTCGCAACAAGGTGCGGTTGGAGACAAAGTTTGTGAATAAGAAGAGCCCCAATAGGCCCTCGGATAAGGAAACACGTTACGTCGAGAACACTGAAGAGGCTGTAAGCTCGGAAGCGTTAGAGATGGCTGACAGAGTTCTGAAGAAGAAGCGAGATGTGTTCCTGCGGGAGAACGGGGGGGACGCTGGTGGCAGCAGCAGCGGCAAGAAGAGGCGGAGGAACGCTGACGACGAACTAGCTGACCCAGTCATCGTGGCTTTGCGGGGTGGCGGAAGGACTCGATCTGGGGTGGAAACGGGCAAGCCAGATGAACAAGAGGTGAGAAAAAAATAGTCTGCTAGGGATTCCCGCACTGCTGTAAACATCACGAAAGCACTTTTGAAAGTTGCCTAGATACGGGTGTGTCCCGATGGCTATCGCTGCATCGTTTTACACCAGCACTCCAAAGATAGCAACTGCAACGAGGTAGAGTATCTGCAAATTTGAGTATCTTGATTAGATCCGCCGGGAACAAGAGTATTCACAAACATTTTCGAAGCACAAGTGCTGCGTGCTAGACCACTCTCATGCCATCCTCCCTTCCGCGATGCAATTATAAAGGCGGAGATTGACTGGAGAACCCAGGATGCGGAAAGTTTCCTGGCTTTCTTGAACAGCAAGGAGTCATCAAGCGACGCACTAGAATTCTTGGCATCTAAGGGTTTGGACGCTGCGAAGGAAGTCCGTCGCCGTATTCGAGAGCTGGACGTTTTGGCAAGGGTCGGAGCTTCGTTGAAGAGAGCGATTGAGCAGGCGCAGAAGCAACGAAGCACCAGCGACGGGCATCGAACATGGCAAACACTTCTCACTGCGGCGGCCTTCATGGTCGAAGATGAGGAGGGCTCGCAGCTATCGGCCCAACGGACGGCCGCCGCGATTAACGTCCGCAGACAGAGCTTTAACTTCGCGGTAGGCCGTGCCAAAAAGTTGAACCCCGATGTCCGTCCGACCGAGGCGTTGAAGGACGGTGTCTACTGGTTCTCCCCCCGAGCCAAGAGGAGCGACGCAGCCAGCGATGAACTGGTATCGTTAATGCGGCAATACTGGCACACGGACGAGGTGTCGCGCGCGAGCGGCAACTCGGCCGACCGTGACATGTGGATTTCGTCCAAGTCCCCCAACGCTGAACGCCATCCTAGGCGGCAGCTCATCGAAGTGGGCGGGGGCGACGCGGTGTACGCGAAGTTCCTCAAGTGGGCGGACTACAGGAGCTTCAAGTCACGACAGGGGCCCGAATTCACTGACCCCGGCCGCACGCTCTTCCTATCGACGCGGTGCAAGTGCCAAACCCTTCCTGTCATGGAACAGTGTGCGTGCAAGATCCACTCGCAACAGGTGCTGTACATCGAGGCGTTGGCGAACGTCGACATGGCCAGCCACGGAGACTGCTCGTGCCGATGGTGCACCGTGGACGGAGGCAGCAAATGGCGGGAGACTTGGAAGCACCTAGGAACTTTCTCCGATGCGATCGCTTGCCCGAAGGTGAACTTGCGTGCAGAGGACCCGGAAGATAATGTTGGGTTCATGGGGCGGAAACCGGAATGTAGCGCCTTCAAGTGCAAGGAGTGTGGGTTCGGGGGGGCCAAGGGAATCCCCACCTGCACCAGGCTGGAGACTTCTCAGAAGACGGTCGAGTGGAAGGAGTTCGAGGATGTGATCACGGTGCCTGCTTCGGCAGATGGGAAGATCAAAGCCAAGAAGCTCGCGAACCAGACCATTCCCAAAGAGGGCAGGCTCTGCGACCTGTGGAAGGCCTTCAAACAGGACAGCAAGCTTTACATGGCTCATCACGCGACCGCCAAGTGGCAGAGGCACTGCCACGGGCGTTGCTTGGAGACGTTCCAGGACGGCGACCTTGTCATTGAGACAGACACCACTTCGTGGGGGCCAACACTCCCAGGAACGACGCGCAAACCACGACGGAAGACCCCGAAGACATCAAGCTGGCGCTGAAAAGGGAGGAGGGGGGTCGTTCGACGGGAGAAGAGGAGAGTCGATTGGCGGGGCTTGGGGGGGTCAGAGTGATGCAAGTTTCGGGAAGGTGGAAAGGGGTCGAGGGAAGCGGACCTGTCGAACCGATGTCGGGCGAGGAGGTGGTTGTTGTGAGGAAGGAGACCCGGGTGCACATGCTCAGAACCCGTTTGGCGTCGTGTTTTTGCTCGGCGTGCCAGCGTTTTCAGTACGAGGACTGCTACGTCAACCGGGCGTACCCGGACCTGGTTCCCCCAATGAGGGAGGGTAAAGTGAAGGAAACGGTCATCATGGACACCGGAGTAGCGCTGGAAAGCGAAGGCAAAGCTGGCATCACTTTCAGGTCCCGACAAAGCACGTGTGAGATGGCGAGGCTCACTGGGACTCAGTGGGAAGCGAGCGACTCGAAGATTGCTTTCAATTTGTGGAAGGAGCTTGAAAGAGAGGAAGAATCCACACTTCTTGTCCGTTTCCGGAGACAGCCGGGGATATAATTGTGCTGCTTCTTTTGTTTGTTGTTGGACGTCGTTTTAGGCGTAAACGTGCGTGGTGAGATCGGAAACGTGAGAGTAGGGGGCGAGGTGGCAATTGCACGTTGCGATTGGCGTTAACGGTGTGTTTTGGTATCGGAAACGTGGGGATAGGGGCGAGGTGGCGTGTAAATTTTGTTGGAAATTGTTTGTGATGATGCCGTTCTTGGCAACGTCAATATTCACGTCGATATCTCAAAAATGAAAACAAGAAAAAAAAATCTGATCACGGATTCGTAATCCCCATCCCAAAATTACCATGACCTGAAATTTTCAGCTGGGTTGGACACTTTTTTTATTCCGGGGATTGTTTTGGACCATCCCCGCTTTTTGCGTTTTGGTGAAATATTCCCAGGAATAAGATGGAATCGATTGAAACCCGGCAAGAAACATGTGTAAAAAAAAAAAAGAATCGTGTGGTGCCCATCTCATACCTCAAGGTACTAGCGAAAAAAAAATCAGACCTTATCCGGGGATGGTTCATCACTATCCCCCCCCCCTTAAAAAAGCTGAACGTATTACTCCGGATCGCGCCTGTAGGATAGGTTTTCTCATGAAGTAGAAGGGTGGAAGAACAACACAAAAAAAAAACATGTTTTTTTGGGCTATTTGCTCCACGCCCAAGGCGACCTTTGCTCCTCTCGTGAAAGCGACCCTACAGCCCTCTACCTGGGGTTTACAGCTATACCACACAACAAACCGCATCCGAATCGCATCAGCCAACCACGAGATCTACATGTCTGAAAACTGTCCCTCCAGTGGGGCTGCAGCGCCCACACCAGCAGACCCTCCCAAAAAACAAAATCGAGGTCCGCGCCGTTCGGCAGCAGGAGGCGCGCTGCCCGAAAGCTGAATCAAAACAAAAAGAAGTTTGAAGAGAGGACGGGGCAGTGTATGGTTGCCGCGTCAGCAGAAGAAAACACGCGGCGCGCCATCGAACGCGGCAGCCTCACCGTCGTAGAGAGAACGCTGAAGGAAACGAAAGAAGAGTTGTTGGTCAAAAGTAAGAAAATTGTGGAAGAGAGCCAGGACCTCGCTGCCGCCGTCGCCGCCGCCGCTGCTGCTGCTGCTGCTGTTTGTCTCAGCAGCAGCAGCGGCGGCGGCAGGTGTCTGCGTGGCTTCACCGCCCGGCTGCTGCTCGGGTGTGTCGTGAGGCATGTATTCTAGAGTGGGACCGCGCAATGGTGTTGTGTTGTGCCCCAAAGCAGGGCAGGCGAGCCGCGCCCTCGCGCGTGTGCGTCAGAGGGTCTTTCCGGGAGGTTCCGACGGTTCCGTGCAATTTCATTGGTTGGTCGATTTTCCATCAGCAAGATCCGAAGACGCTTTTTCGAATTTTTTCCTATAGGCGCCATCCGCAGTCCATAGCCATGGATTTTTGGCGGGGGGGGGATGGTGATGAACCATCCCCGACTAGGGTCTGAAATTTTTATTACATATACATACCCGGACATAGATGTAAATGGTGGATTCATTTTTTTTTAACTGTATTTGGCCGGGTTTCAACTCATTTTCCATTTTTTACCAGGGAATTTCTAAAAACGCAATACCTGGGGATGATCCTGAAACATCCCCGATTTTGAAAAGTTGTCAGATTGATCTTAGAATTTTTGGTCAGGGCAATTTTGGGGTGGGGGTTACGAATCCATGGTCGATTTTGTTCAATTCCATTTTGTTGTTGAGTTACAGGTACGTATTTAACAGCATCACCTCCTAAAGAGACAATCAAAAATATTTGGCCCAGCTTTGGCAGAGCTCATGATCGAGCCTCTGCCCACCTGAGTGTTGGTCTGAGCAACTTTCTGAGTGGCTCTACCCCCCCCTAAATCGGCCAAGCGGAAGCGATTGTCGCGGTGAACGATGAAAAAAAAAGTTCGGGAATGCGGCGAAAAAAAAATGAAGGGGTTCCCGAACCAATTGTCTGTTACAGTTGTTCAACTTTTTAGACGTCGGTTTTGAGCGTTTCAAAGCAATGAAAAAACGATTTTCGATTTCCTTTTTTTTTCAGCTAGGGAGAGCCAATGACTATTGACTGCGGATGGCGCCTATAGGAAGTTTTCCCCTTTGACACCCCTAACTGTGGTATATATATATTCTATGTACGACACTAAAGTCCATACAATAAGGAATACATAGATTACCGTAAAACTGTTGTTGTTGTTGACTTCACATTAAACCGTATGCCAGTTGCTAAATGCCAAAATCTAGCAAAGACTCTCGGCCCGTGGTCACGAAAGTGCT